GGAGGGTTTTGGATAATGACATGTCCCTTGGCAAGATTTCCCTAGCAACTCGTTGAACTATACCCTGTTTCTGATCACTGATGAAATCACTGATGCTTTCATCTAGGTGAGCATTTCTTCCTTTTCTCTAAGTTTCTCAGAAAACACAATAGTCAGAAAACCTTGAGAGACCGAGGAGCCCAAGACTCCTGAAAATGGGATCTAGGTGTTTGATAATTGATTTTTTTAAATGAAAATCCCAAGCACTCAAAGATTAACTTTTAAAGGTTTTTATCTCTTTTGCATGCAGATCAGTGCCTAGTGTGGTATTCAGAAAATGGCTAGGTAACTAAACTCCTTCAGAAATGTTTTTCTTGCTGGTTAATTTCTTCTGAAGTCACAAGGAAATCTTCTGAAAAGTTATTTATATCAATAGCTATCACACCACTGAAGTCATCCGACCTAATCATCCCCAGAGAGTTGCAACAATGGGAATTATAAATAGCAAAAATATCCTGGATATCATCTCCACTATTTTAAAAGCATTGTTTTCATAGAGAACAGTAACTAAGAAAAAATCTCAGGACATAAAGTATCAGAATACGTGCACATTTGTCACTGCCAAGTGGTCTTTCCAAAGACCAGGTACTTTTCCCTGAGCTAAAGCCATTTAATGCTGCAAAGGTGTCACAATGGTCAGTACATTCTCTGCCTGGCTCCTGGCTTCTTTCTCATCATATTATGCAAGGGGAGAACTGAAATTGTGTTGATAGATAGCCTGGAAATGCAATAGATTAGACAAGGTAACAAAAAGCACTGTCCTAGCTTGTTGGTAAAAGGAAAATTGCACTCAAGTGGTTTATTTTGAGTCTGTTTGCAGATGGATTCATTTTGCTGTCTTCTGCATTGCATTTTAAGGTGTCCAGGACAGACTGAGCTCTACAAGGTCTCTTTATTTGTTTTATAACCTAGCTCCCCACACAGCACTAATCCAAAATGCCTTAGATAATAGAATATGCATTATTTTAATAATTTAAGCATGTCTTTTTTTCTTGGTGGAGTTACACACTTGCCCTCTGTGATGAGTACTGCCTGAGAAAAGCTGGGTTCTTGGACCCTTTTCACTGTTTTGATAGTATTCAGAAGATCCTCCAAATCCAGATAAAACCAAGCAAAGACCTCCATACATGTAGTTCCTCATATTATTGCATAAAGTTTCTAATGCAGACAAAAATTGGAGTGGTTAGATGAAGTTAGACATGAAGAAAGCCCTAATTCCATAATGTGTGAAAAGTTATAAAGCCAAATTTCAAGTATTCAGGTTGAAATTTCTTCTTCTTTGAATTGGCAAATTTTTTTTAAAAAAAAAATTATTTTTTTTTTAAGTTTGGTAGAAAATAGTTCAGCCCTTTTTGGAACAAACTTAGTGAGGGGTGATGGTTTTGCCAACATTCATATTTTTCATCTGTTTTCTGAAGAGCCGCAGTGATTTATAAGAGGAGCTTGAAATCTGGCAGTGAGACAACCCTCAAGTTAGAATGGTATCTTTGTCCCCAGGAAAATCCATTCCTAATCAGCTATGTTAGAAATTACAAAAAAAAATCCCAGTTGGTATTTACAAAGCAGAAACACTGCTTTTTTTTTGGAGTGTTTCAAATGGAAGTGTGCAAGCCCAGAGCCTGCTGAGCCTCTTGTCCTGGGCAAGTACTACACATCTGTAGGCACAGCTCAGGGCAGGTTTATCTTAAACAGAGTTCTTGTTTTCTTACAGGAAAGCTCTGACATCAACAAAAAAGGCATAACAGAGGAGTTGACAGGGAAGGAAAAGCTAATTAGGAATTAGTTGGGTATTAGAGACTCCTAACATTATTAGACAGCATTAGAGCCTTTGAAACTCAGCCTGCACCATAATAATTTCCCTAGAATTTAAGGGCTTATTCTCCAGTTGTTCTAACTCAGCTCTATTAATATCACTGGAGTTACATTAGTTTGCCCTGACTAATATCCTTTAGTTATGCAGACAAGCAAATAAAATCACTTTAGCTGTTTTTTCAAAGTCATTCCCAAACATCATCTGAAAGGTTCCCTCAGTACAAAAAACAAACCCCAAACACAAGACCCCGGTGCAGCCCTGACCTGGCTGCACATTCCATATTGGGGGTCAATAGGAGTTTCACAAGGATACCCTCAGTCACTGCTTCCTCACAGCCACTTCGGACGGAGGGGAAGAAAGGGTTTGAAAAACATTCCAGATTTCAGCTGAGTTTTTGTAGCTGTGCAGACCCAGAAGCCGCTGAAATGTCCAGAGGGACAGCCTCAGCAAGCCTGTGACCTTCTATGACAAACTGGACCGTGGCATTTCAGAAGGGATTTAGCTGGGATTGTTAAAAATGTGCCAAAAAGAGAACCGCTTCTTGGATTTTTTCAATCAAGTAGCACTATATTTGGACTGGAAACAGCCTGTGGATGAGCAGGAATAACCATTAGAAGGCAAGTGAAAAGTTTCAAGCAGATACTGCAGTCAAGGAAGAAACAAGTCGAACGTATCTGGGCAAGTTTCCATACTGACTGAAGCCACACTTTTTCCCATGACATCAGACTCAAAACAAACAATATATTATAGTCCATATGTTGGTTAAGGGAAGCCCAAGCCGTGCAGAGCCATGCACCAGCCTTCAGAACAGCGACTGAACAAAAGCTGGATCGCTTGCAAGCCATGGGAGTTAATCAAACAAACACAGAGCCCCAGGTTTTCAGGATAAGGCGCCTGGGTCAGACTTCTCAGCACGATGAGGTTGTGAATCCCGAGGTAAGAGCGAAAGCAAACTGCCTGGATCAAAGCTATGCAGTCTGACTAGATGACAAGGGCAATAAGTAAACAGGGCTTTGAATATGCAGCAGCCAAAAGGCTCAGAGAAGTGTAAAGTTGCTTGCAGATAACGTGCTCGGAGAACCTGGAGTTCTCTACCTACCTGAGGTCATACGGCGTTTGCATGAGAAATTCGGACTTTGGAATGGTTTGCAGTCAGAGTTCAGAAGAGCTTTTGGCAGGTTAAACATGTTCCCAGTAAGATGATGCTGAGGATAAACATGCAAGCGAAATATATAAATGCTGTTTTCACAAGAACAGCGCTGCTTTCTTAGAACTGCCTGTATTTTAGGGAGGAAGGCTAGAATGCAGTCCTGATGGGGTGCCAATACAATCCATCGAGAGCAGTTAGTAAATCACACAGCTTAGCAACTGAAAAGGACACGGGACATTTTCAAATTTGAAATAAAAACAGAACCATGTTCCACAGGAAAAAGGTACTTGTTTAGCACATATTGATGCTGTTTACAAAAGGATCGGGAGTTTAACTCTTACTGGAAAATGGCCTATTAACATAATAATTACTGCATACAGCTGAATTCACTGAGATATTTTATCAAACCTTGAATTATCTGATCTATTGATCCTCTGTAATAAGGAACAGGAGGGCACCTTTGATCTTTCTCACATAATTTAATAAGTCAAAATTAGAAAAGAGCCTTTTCAAATGAGGACAAATTTGACTAGGAGAATAACTAGGCAAGCTGTAAAACTTTAATTGTGCTTTAACAAAATTATCTAAGCTCATAGGTTTAATAGTCAAAACAAATCAGGAAATAAAATGCTGCATTATTGTCACTGGTAGATTAAAGTGGCAGAACCTAGGTTTATAGAAATATAAACCTAGAAGAGCATTTCTTTTGTTTGCACAGTACTGAACTCATTCACAAATCCAAGAAGAAATGCCTTGTTCCTTAGGCAGACTTGGAAAAATGCAATTCACTTAATGACTTTTTTTTCCTATTTTAAATGATGCATATAGTTAAAATAGTTGTTTTCTAGTTTTGAACATCCCTTTTTATCCCCTTGTACTGTTTCCCAGTGCTTCAATCCAGGAATGACTTCTTTCAGTGTCAAACCACGCAGTGAAAGTCTCAGCTAAAAAACCCATTTATGTAAACAAATTTGGCGACCACAATTCTTCGTCACTCAGTTTGGATCTCTGCAGCCATTTCAAGATAGATCCTTGTCCACAGGGATCTTTAGACAGCAGTAGAATAAATTAATCCCCAGGTATTGTCAAGAAAAGAAGCACTGAAATGTTTTGCTTCCAAATATCAGCAAGCCTCTGGAGACAGCCACTACAGCAAGCTGTTATTGTCAGGAAGATACAAGACCCTCAGAATGAGTGATTAGCTCCCACAGCTCTGTGGGCTTCACTGTACATCTGCAACAGTTATGTGGAACACACAGACATCTAAAAATTGCATCTTCCTGCCAACTGAGGTGTGTTAACATCTGCCTGCTGCTGCTGCTGCACTGATCAGCAGTGCCTAAATCCTAAGGGAACACTTAACAGCTTTCTTCACAGATCTCCCAGTTCTGCTTTGAGGGAAGCAATGGTGACATATTGGCCAAACTTGTTGCATAAAGGGTTTTGGAGTGGAAGAATTGCACATCTTTATAAGATTGCCTGGATTTTAAATATTTAATTTGGTCTCTAGGTCCAGTCTGAAATCACTGGTATGGAAATTAAGGACCTGCCATTGTTCCATACTCACTTGGAAGTTACTCAGGGTATAATGCACATCAGTGCTTCTTTACAACTCCAAATAAACAAAAAAAAGTAACAACATTGGGTGTTTAACAGCTTACCTTAAGATATAGTTAACAGCAACTTGGCTTTCACTCATGACACCCATCCTGTAGGTTCGTGAAATTCTAGAAGGAAAAAAAAGTAAAATAATCAGATATCCTTAACTAATCCCTAGGAAGTCATCCCTGTGAAACTGTGGAAAACAAATGTGGGTAGTCTGACAATTATCAGCCACAAAAGTTATATTTTAGCCCTTGCCCTCTATTTTAAGCTGCTGCTGTATATTCCCCTCAGTGTGAAGAAAGAAGAAGGGAGCTCAGCAAGACTCGACTGGGAAGAAACATTCTGCTCCTGGTGACAGGGACTTGTGAGCAAGACTGAGAGGTCAGTTGTGTTTTCAAGTGCTACACTTCTGGTCTTAGCTCCTGATGTACGGACAGGGGATGCAAAGGTAGAGACAGAAATGATGCAGTTTAACCTTGAACTTACTGCACCCATTCCATAAGAAAAATCTACTTTTCTAATCTATTATATGGTTAAATTATTAGGATCTTGATTAGGGTCTGTATAAAGCACCGATCACTGTTACAAACACTTTGTAGGAGCTTTCTCAGTGTTCTTATTCCAACTCAGGCAAGCAATCTCTGCTCATTTAACAGCAGATAGTTTCAATCATAGCAAGAACCTTTTTCATTATTAATCAGCACAAATTACACCAGTATTTGTTGGACTGGATGCATGTAAAACATCTCTGTGACTTTGTTTTGCTTTCAGTAGTTACACCACCGGTAATTAAAACCTTTCAGCTCCACAGATCATAATTTCCACAATTAAACCAGAGATTCTGTGAAACTTACTTCAGTGTAACATGCCAGTATGATTTAATAGAAAAAACAGAGATTTTCACATTTCATCTCCTTGTGTATTTTATGCACACAATTGCTTTTCAGATAATATTTATTTTAGTGTAGGAAAAGCAACTGAGTGGCAGTAAAATATCAAGAAGCACTGGGCAAAGAAAGGTTCTGCTGGTCTGAAACAGCTGTCAAACATGTCTTTTCAAAAAAAAAAATCTAAAAACCATGTTAACTGCTACATCTCAGTTTTTGTGCACCTCAGCAGTTCTTTGTTCTGGCTGGAAGCATAAGCTGCGAAATGACTGTTCGCAGCATTCCGAGCTTGGCCATAGCCGCGGATCCTGGAATTGTAACAGTGTATTCTTTGGGGTCTATTCAATGCTAAACTAAGTTTCCAAATGTTTCTTGGCTCAGCAGCCATTAACTGGACCTTGAACTTCCCACTTGTATTCAGTGGCGGGGGGCTAAACTTGCCATCTGTTTTGACAAATGTTTTCCATTGCCTCTGCATAGCTGACAGAAAACGAGGCATATTAGGAGAAGTTCAAGTTCTCTGTCTGAACCACCAAGAATTCTCTGAATCCTCACAAATCCCATCAGAACACAGCTAATTGTAATTCTGTTTGCAAAAGATTTTAGTTTGTCATGAGCTGCAGGTCTTAATATCTTCTTAGATCCATATCACTTGTTCTCTGAGCATCTGCCTACTCTTCATTCCTTTGGGGCAATAATCTTCACTGAGTGGAAAATCACAGCTGTAGGCATTCTGGAAAAATAAAATAAAATAAAAAGACAGCATCACTTCTGCTTGTCTCTTCTGCACTTTTCTCCAGCCTCAACAGTCCCAGCTCTTAGCAGCACCAGGAGAGTCAAGGGAGCTTGATAAGAGTTGCCAGTTATGATATTAATAAACAAAGAAAGTGTCCAGAAAAAAGTACTAATGAAAAGCTACAGTTCTTCTTGACTTTTGACTTGTTCTTCTTGACTAAGCTTTTCTAGATTCTGTGAAAAATACATAATAATCAGACACAATTTGTCTTACATAAATTGTTCCACAAGATTAAAATATTCGGGTTTGAATTCGGAGCTGAATAATTAATTGATGCTACCACTACAAAAGAATAAAGGAGAGATGAAAAATAAAGATGCCCTGCTAAATGAGCTCTTTAAGTTTGAGCAGATGAACCATATCAGCATGGAAAAATACTCTTGTATCATTCATGTCACATATAACAAGACACCCTACCTGTGATTGCTGCCGTATGCCACAGAGCCATTGTGCGCATCAATAAATCAGATGTGATGCAAGACATGCAATTAAGTCCAAAACATTTGGTTTCAGATCTGTTTTGCATGGGTAATTCATCCACAAAGATGTAGCTGTCACTTTTTACAGACTGGACTGTCACTAACAGATTGTAACTAACAAAAGCCAGGAGAGGAATATTCCAGATCCTTTCCACATGCAGCATTTAGATTTTTGGTCATACTATAGGTTCAGCTATTGTACACATGCCAGGAGTCTGTCTGAAGAATCAGAGAGATCCCCAGACTTCCCCTGGCAATCACCCACCCTACCAGGGCACAACAGACAGGTTTTGCTCTTTCCAGATGCATCAGAGGTGTCTGTGCCATCCCGTGCTCCACGAAGCATTAATGGTTTCCAGATGTTGGCTCACAGGGTGCTGACGCAACTCTTGCACCATTAAAGTATCACACAACAATATTATGGAAAGGATCAGAAACACGGGAGAATTTTACAGCCTTCAGAATCCGTGGTGACAAGAGGAGCAAAATACAATGCTGCTGTAACACTGAACTTTCTCAGTGTTGCTGCCCAGGAGCTTCTCCAGATCAGGCTTGTGCTGCAGCACCAGAAAGGGAGCGACCTTCAAATTCACTGGGCCATTTCTAACATTGGTTATCATTCCTGAAATGCTGTGTAATCACTTAAGTAATATCATGAATAGGTATTATTAGCTAGGTCTGGTTGAAAATGATACAGTCATTTTCTATAAAATAATGAAATTTCATTATCTCTTTCAATGTGTTTTAAACGCATCAGTTTCCTTTCTGAAACACAAAATTCTTCCATATTTGCCTTTCCTACTTGTCCTCATTTAAAAAGGAGAATTGAAAAACTGGTCATATCACTAATTTTTAAATCATTCAATCAGATTAAATGATAAAACTTTAGGGAAAAAAAGACCAGCAAACATAAAAGTATAATCTAGAATCTGAAAATACAACAACAAAATTATTTAAAGTCTTGAGACAGATTTTAAGAGGATTAATTGAAGCTTCTCCTAGCATATCTAAAATATTTTAGACCCCGGGAAACCTGCTATTTTTCAGAGATATCATCTCAAATATAAAGAAGAATGTAAGGAGTTCTTCACTCATCCAACTTAGAAATTATTGCCTAGTCTAGGAAAGCAGAGACAACAACTCTGTTGATGTAAATGACAATAAAAGCAGCCAGTGATTTGTGGCTGTATCTGTATTTAAAAAGGTGACCATGTAACACAAACCATGAGAAGAGGAGGGACGCCCAGTCATAGTAACCATAAAACATTTAAAGGGCAAAACTAAGAAGAAATATGATTTGATCTGTTTTAGTCCATCTGACATTTTTATATCCACATTTAACTAACAGGTCATTAATATCCACACAAATGTAAGCAAGGGATTTTTGAGCCGAGATGTCTTATTCAAAGCAATAAAAGCTTTATTCACACTCTGCTTGTACCTCAAACATTTCATAACTTGGCAGCCCCGAACAAGTACTCCGAGAGCCGCCAGTCCAATTGCACAGAACAGAATCAGTCAGCATCTGTTCAAAAAAAAAATCCTTGCTCTGCTTTGGAAAAAAGCAATTATCATTCAAGTTTTTCCCTCAGAAAAATCTGGCTACACATGAGGGGAAAAATCAGATAGCAAGCTGTTTGCAATAGGGAGTTTTAATTTCCCCTTTTTGCCTTCTAAGTAGAAGAGACTCCTTCAAGTGAAGTCCTTTTGTGGATTATAACTTCCTAAAGGGCCACAAGAGGATTTACTCATCCAAGTTCCCTTAATACAGTCCTGTCCTATTCTGAAACATTCTGAAATGCTGAGATCAGCAGATAGCAAGAACACATGTCAGAAGAGATGTGTTCTTTTTCATTCAGGGCAAGATACCAGGGAGCATTTTTTCAAGTTAGCTATTTGCAACTTGTCAGAAATTGACAGCTTCCCACTTTAAACAATGGTTTCTGCAGCTGAATTTCTTTATGCAGACTGTGCTTCACAGAAAACAGAATATAACAGAAAATAAGGAGGATTAAAATATTAGAACAGTATTTTTACCGGCGTAGTATTTTAAACAATTTCTTCCATTTCCTCTAAAAATAAAAGAGGAAAACTTGTTTCTGAGATGACCCTATTTTCAAAAAGGAAACCAAACAGAATGTCTCCCCAACCCTAAATCAATTTGCTTCATGACTTTAAGTTTGTAAGGAATATTTCTATAAGGTTTGCTTTTAGGCATGATGAAAGTTGTGATTCTTACAATACTCTTAAGACCAAAAACATCAGTGTTCCAAATATATGCAATGATTGAATGGCTTCACTGACTTTGAGGTCCCCAGCTGTGATTTTCACACTTTTTTATTCTAAAAACAACACTATGGAGCTGGGGTGCTAGAGTCTCATTTTGAACTGGGCTGAAACTAATTAAGGCTTCTTTTATGTCTTTCCCATGCTAAGGGGAGGATCCTGTGGTACCTAAATCTCATGTAATTTAATGGCCTGTTGGGGCAGCCCTAATGTTTTCAGTGGGAATTACAATTTTAATGCAGCATTTTTTAAAAATTAAAGATCCTTTCTGAGAGTCCTTAGCAAAATAGGCAAATGTGTTTGTTAGTATAAAATACACCCTATGTACACACAGAATTACTTTAATACAGAGTTGGATCAGCAATAATTCAACAAAAAGGGTGCACAAGGAAGAAACTGATAGGAGACATAGGCCAGGTTTTGGGAAGCCTGGATGAGTCAGTAACATGACTAATGGGTGAATCTCAGGTGAGAACACATCTTTGGGAAGTGCTACTGTAAAGATGACTGGTGAGAGCAGGAAAAGTGATGACTTACTTTGTCAAAAACATCTCTGAATGTCCGTGCAAGCAGAAAGCACTTTCAGAATACATGAAAATCAGATTGTTTGTCTGGGCTGACATCTGTCCGTGGATCAGGCTGTGGGTTGTGTGTGCCCTTGGTGAGCTCATCTTTCCACAACTCCAAAATATGTTGTGTGATATTGTGGCTGTAGGCATCCACTTCAGCAAATATTATTCAAAGTCAAACACTTCAAAACAATGGGGAGACAGCCACAGCTATCAGAAAAGTCTGGGTTTAATTACAGAATGCTCAAATAATTGACATCCACATCAGATTACTTCAGATCCATGACTTAACATTTCTATAAGTAATGTGCTGTGTTTCACAAACTGAGCTCCTCAGCCATGATTTCAGTTGAAAGTTTAATTTCTGCTGCCACTTGTATATGCATTTTCTCTCTCTTAAATGCTAAATTAAACTGATTTGCTTCAGACAATTCCTGAGGCTAAATTTCTGCAAGGCTCTGGGCTTTCCCTGCTTTAAAAATTAATGACCTCTCCTACTTAAAATCTAAAGTGGCTTTTAGTCACCATGAAGGTTTTCATGTGCCAGTGTTATCACTTAAATAATCTCTTCTCACTAGTATTTATCTTCTGTTATGTAATATGTATGACACATCACCTGTCTTCTATTTTATTTGCCTAAATATAATGAGTTTTCCCATCTGTTTTTTTGTGTGTCAGATGAGCTGGTAGATTCCATCAAGCTGTCTTTAATATTTAATTTTTATGTTTTTCTCCCATTTTCAGTTTCCTGCCAGGTATTCAGAATGAGTTTTGTAGGTAAAGTCTGTGGCAGGGCACAGTCTAAACAGATCACAAGTCCCACTTAGAATTCAGGATCTAAGTGAGATTTCTTTTGAATTCAGAGTAGTATCAATAAGCCAAAGGTGAAAATAAAGTCATCTCCTTCCTTGACAGAATTTATCGATTCTTATCCTGAAAATTGTTGCACCTCAGTTCTCTTGCTGTTCTTTGAGACATGTTCCTGCAAGAGAATATTCTGCACCAAGTGATAAGCTCATGTTGAGAGCAGCCCTCAACAAAATATCCACATCCAGATGGCATATGAATTATAACCTTCTATCATGGACTTAACAAGCCGTGGGCTGCTGTTAATTGTCACTTCCAGGTTTCAGTGTTTTTATGCCACTAATCAAACCTGCTGTTCTTCTTAATAACAAATCAAAAAAATTTTATTTTTAAGGGATACACGTGGCACCCTGCTTTCCTTCTCCCTCCTATTCTTGCCATGATTCTCTCCTGTGCTTTTCAAACATAATCAGCAATAGGTCAAATCTTAATATTTTATTGAGATTTTCTTCATATCCTTTTCAGGCAAAATCCTTCAAGGGAAGAACTACATGCCAAAAGTCTTCTGCTGTATCTGTTCATTACTGAGGAAAGAATTTTTCCCTTCATGGTTATTATTGTGAAGTAAATTCAGAGTCCCTGGTGAATAATACGTAAACATAACGTGCACAATATGAAAATGCATTTAATATTTTATTATATTTTAGATGCCTGTTAGGTATCTCACCCCAGCCAGCAATTTATAATCATGTGCAAGAGGCAGCTTCCTGAATTTGCATAGTTTAGACACGGAAAA